CGAGTCCGGTTTGGAATTTTTGGCGCGAGTCGGCTCCGCGCGCGCTCACGGGCCGTTCCCCCTTCAGATAGTCCTCCCTCCCGGGCGTGGGGAGCCGTCGACCGTAGACCCCGGACCGTCTGACCGCTCTGAGGGCTCCCGCGCCCTCTGCCGACCCGGAATCTGGGACCTCGCTGAGCTGCGCCCCACCCACCCGCCCAAGGTGAGCCCATACCTGGCCCTGACGCTTCTAGGGCGGGACTGCCTCCTTCTCCTTTCTACCTCCCTCCCCGGCAACCCCTCGCCCTCTGACAGCCCTTCCCCGGATCTGTCTCCCCCATCACCCGCTCCAGCCCCCTTCCTCATCCCCTCCAACAGCCCCGCGTCTCACTGTCCGGCTGGGTCCGGCCCCGCCCCTCTGATAACCCCTCCCGGTCAGCCTTGCCCCGGGCGGCCCCGCCCACTTCCCCTCTACTGGCTCCCGGGTGACTTGCCCCTGCCCTCCTCCTCCTCCCGCCTCCCTATCACCCGTCTTCCGGAAGCCCCTTCGCCCAGCGACTGCTCCCCCTTTACGCGTTCGTCCCCAGGAAAAGCCCCACCGACCCTTCCATCTGCAGTTCCTCCCCCGTGACAGCTGGTTTGCTCAACTCTGCTCACCAGGGTTTCCCCACGCCCACGAAGGTGAATCAGCTGTGGCCCTGCCCAGGAGGAACTCACAGTCTAGTGCAGTAGACCGTGGTCAGCAGATGTGTCCGGCCCAGTGAGAGGGTGAGGCCCCTGAAGGCTGAAAAAGTTATCCCAGCTAGTCTCTGTTCAGGGCTACCCTGGATTCACCGGGAGCCCCTGCTTCTTCTACCTCCCCTATCCCACCCCCTAAGCTTTTTGGTCACGCCTGTGGTGCTACAACGTAGTGACATTGGGATGGTCTGAGAATTGGTTTAAGACGCAGGTGCCCAATGTCCCTGAATGTGCTGGGCCTGGACTTGGAGGCTGTACTTTTAACCAGTACCCTAGGGTATCCTGACTCCCTGGTTCACTTTGAGAAACTCTGGGATGGGTTTCGTGAGGTGGATGGAGGCTGAGGAAGGGTCCCCGATAGGATGTAGGGTGAGTCTTCCATATAGGCCCTTGTGGGGGTCCCTCCCCTCATCCCTCACTCTCCTAGGCACTAGAGTCACTTCAGATGACAAGTGACTGCCCCCTCCTGTTTCAGTTACTGACTCATCTCCTGCTGAGTGAATCTTTTGATAACACTGTGGCTTCCTCTCAAAATTGGAGTCCTCTCCCTTTTTCTCTCTGTTTTTCTTTCAATTATAACATTATAACAACACAGTAGCCCTCTCTGCTCCAACACAAAAGTCACTTACACCCATGGGACCGTTGTATTTTGTATATTCTTTCAATTACTATTCAGAGCATTGCTTATAACAGTTATTGCAGGATCGACACCCCAGACACTAGGCTAAGCCTTCCATGAGGTCAGTATTACAGGTCCACAAAACCCTGAAGCAGAATTCAAAATGTCTCAGATTTTAGAAAGCTAGTAAGGTGCATGTTAACATTTATATGTAACACCACCCATTCATGGGTCTGGGGCATCACCCCATAATCAAAAACAATATTTCTGTCAAGAATTATATGAATATTCACACTTAGAGGGAAGAATGGGCCAGATCAGATTTTTCTACTAAAAACATTTTGCATGTGGATATCCAGTTGCCCCAGCACCATTTAAGAAGGCAGTTTGTTTGTTTGCTACTGAATTGTTTTGGCATCCTTGTCAAAATCAATTGACTATAAATGTGAGGGTTTATTTCTGAACTCTCAGTTCTGTTCCATTGACCTTCATGTCTATCCTTATGTGAGTACCACACTGTTTTGATTACTGTAGTTTGGTAGTAACTTTTGAAATTGGGAAGCGTGAGTCCTCTAACTTTGTTTTGATTGTTTTGATTATTTTGGGTCTTGTGAATTTCCATATGATTTTTAGGACCAGTTTGTCAATTTCTGCAAAGAAGTTCTCTAGGATTTTGATAGGGATTGTGCTGAATCTGTAGACCAATTAATCAATTGGACAGTGTTGCCGTTTTATCTATATTGTCTTTGGATCTATGAACCATAATGTCTTTCCATTTATTTAGGTCATCTTTAATTTCTTAAAGAAGCTAAGGGAAGAAAGAAAAGCAAGTGTATGTGTATAATGTTTGCTACATTGACCTTTATTTATTCTTTTTCTACTTTTTCTTTTAGTGTGTTTCATTTTAAAATAAAATTTTTTTTTATTATGTTCACCTTCTTATTTACCTCTTCTGGTTCTCTCCACTTGTTCCTGTGGGTTTGAGTTACTATGTGGTGTCATTCTCTAATATTGTTCCCACACACCTTCTTTGTGCTGTTATTTGCAAGTATATTACATTTCCATATATTACATGCCAACAATACAATTACATAGTTTTATAAATTTGCTTTTAAATCAGCTAAAAGAAGAAAGGAGAAAAAATAATGAATTTGTACGGTCTTTTAAACTACATATACAACATCATTGCCTTTATTGGGGCTCTCTTTTTTTTATGTGGATCTGAATTACTGTTGGGGATCACATGCTTTCAGCCTGAAGAACTTCCTTGGTTTTTCTTGTAAAGCAGGTCTCCTAACAATGAATTATTTCTGTTTTGTTTATCTGGGAATACCTCTTTTTTGCCTTTATATTTGGAAGATAGTTTTGTAGGATGTAGGATTCTTAGTTGACAAAATTTCACCCCTAATGCTTGAATATGTCATTCCACTTCGTTCTGACCTCCATTGCTTCTTTTGAGAAGTCAGCTGTTAATTTTATGGTTCTAAGTGATGAGTTGCTTTTCTGTTGCTGCTTTCAAGATTTTCCCCTTGCTTTTGGCTTTCAGCACTTTAAAAGTGGTGTGTCTGTGTGTGGATCTCTACGTTTATACTACTTGAAGTTCATTGAGCTTTTTAGCTATATTATTATTATTATTTTTTAAATCACATTTCGGAAGTTTTAATCCATATTTTCCCTGCTCCTTCTCTTCTCTTCTAATGTACCTATCATGCATACACTGGTTCACTTAATGCTGTCCTACATTTCTCTGAGGCTTGGTTTCCTTTTCTTCATCTATTCTTCAGGTTGGATACTCTTTATCAATCTATCTTCAAGTTCACTAATTATTTCTTCTGCCAATTCAAATCTACTGTTGAACACCTCCAGTGATTTTTTTTTCATTTCCGTTATTGCACTTTCCAACTCTGCATTTGGTTCTTTTGTAATTTCTATCTCATTATTGATACTCTATTTGGTGAGATGTTGTCATCGTGTTTCCTTTACTTCTTCAAGTGTAGTTGCCTTTAGTTCTTTGAACATATTTATAGAGGCTATTTTGAAATCTTTGTCTGTTAAATCTGACATCTGGTCTTTCCTACAGGCAGTTTCTGCTGCCTGTTTTTTTCCCTGTGTGTGGGTCACCCTTTCTTGTGTCTTTGCCTATCTTGTAATTTTTTGTTGTTGTTGAAAACTGGACATTTTAGATAATATGTTGTAGCAATTGCAGATACTGGTTCCTCACTCCACCCCCTAGGGCTTGGGATTGTTGTTTGCTTGTTTGTTTGGTGCCTGGCTGGACCATTGTAGTGTTGTCTCTTTTCCCTGCAGTGTGAAGCCTTTGGTCTTGCTCCTTAGAGGGCCCAGCCTTGGGCATGTATACAGTCACCCTGGGACACCAGTGGTTTTAGGGCGGGTGGGGGCTCTCTTTGTCTTTTCTCCAATCATACCTAGCTGTTAGTCTCCACTCACTGCTGGCTGGTTGCTCTAATATTTTTGACAATACCCTGGAACATCAATTGCTCCATGGATTGATCCAGTCAAAGTTGGGCTTTAAAGGGGTAGCTTTTGAGTTCAGTGTTTAAGGGTTGTTCTGACCCCAGGAAAGCCCTTCTGAGCTACCTCTTTCCCCGTTTGTCTCTGGTAAACTAGCTGGCCTATGGTTCAGCTTGTAGCACTAATGAAGGTCCTAGCCTCCTATTTGCTTACTCCCAAAACCTCCATTGATTTTGAGAGTGCCTTTAGGCTTGAACTTCTCAAAATGTGCTTTTGTTCTTTTCTTTCTTTTTTTTTTTTCAGTATATATTTATTGAAGTATAGTTAGTTTACAATGTTGTATCAATTTCTGGTGTAAAGCAGAATATTTCAGTCATATAGGAATATACATATATTCATTTTCATATTCTTTTTAATCATAAGTTACTATAAGATATTGAATATAGTCCCCTGTGCTATATAGCATAAACTTGTTTATCTATTTTATATATATTAGTTAGTATCTGCAAATATCCAACTCTCAATTTATCCCTTCCCACCCCTTTCCCCCACTGGTAACCATAAGTTTTCTATGTCCATGAGTCTGTTTCTGTTTTGTAAATAAGTTTGTTTGTCTTTTATTTTTTTTAAGATTCCACATATAAGTGATATCATATAGTATTTTTCTTTCTCTTTCTAGCTTACTTCACTTAGAATGGCATTCTCTAGGTTCATCCATGTTGCTGCAAATGGCATTATTTTATTAATTTTTTATTTCTGAGTATTATTCCATTGTATAAATATACCACAACTTCTTTATCCAATCATCTGTCGATGGACATTTAGGTTGTTTCCGTGTCTTGGCTATTGTAAATAATGCTGCTGTGAACATTGGGACACATGTATCTTTTTGAATTAAGTTTCCCTCTGGATATATGCCCAGGAGTGGGATTGCTGGATCATATGGTAAGTCTATTTTTAGTCTTTTGAGGGATCTCCATGCTGTTTTCCATAATGGCTGCACCAAACTACATTCCCACCAATGATGTTGGAAGGTTCCCTTTTCTCCACAGCCTGTCCAGCATTTATTGTTTGTGGACTTTTGAATGATGGCCATTCTGACTGGTTAAGGTGATACCTCATTATAGTTTTGATTTGCATTTCTCTGATAATTAGCAATATTGAGCACTTTTTTCATGTGCCTATTGGCCATTTGTGTGTCTTTATTGGAGAGTTGCTTGTTTAGGTCTTCTGCCCATTTTTGGATTGGGTGGCTTTTTTTTGTTGTTACTAGGTTGCATGAGCACACTGTGCTTCTAATAAAGTCAGGTTTTTTTGCAGAGAGAGCTTTGGTGCTCTGTTTTATGACCTACCTCTCCCCTGGGCAGAGTCTCTGAGCCACAACTCTGGAGCTGGGGGCAAGGATAGTGGCACCTGTCTCTGAATGTTGCTGCTGCCTTATAAAGAAGGCAGTAGCCTCTGGCCTTGCTGGCTTGCCTCTCCCAGTGTGGAGCCTTCTCCTTAGGAATGAGCTGGGACTTTAGCAGTTGGGCTCTCGCATTGCCAGACTGCTGGAGCTGAGTTAGAACTTCTGCCCTAGGAGTAGGGGCTGGTGAAAGGAGGGAAACCAGCCTCTCTGCTACACTCAGCTGGGATTTAGCCTCTACACTATGGAGCTGGAAGTGGAACTCCACTAAATGAGTTTTAGTCTCAACTATGGAAAACGAAAGCAAGAAAGAAACTTTTGGAATTCAGACTTTTTAAAATTTTAAACTGGAGATAAGGGATAGTGAGCCTGCATTAATATTTGCACCAGACAGTCTTGGAAGAGGTTGCATATTTTAAGGCCTAGCAAAGTCCGGGATGCGTACACAGGTGGTCTGGCTCCAGAATTTGCCTTGCTTTAACCTCTGCTGGACCATGGGGGCCTCCAGGACATGACCCCATGGTTTCCAGTTTATGTTTCTCTAACCTCCAAGGTGCAGGCGACTGGTTGCAGGCAAGCAGACATTTGTATACCTTTTCCCCACAGGTACTGGTGGGCCCACGGCTGTCTAAAGCAGAGCGTGGGTCTGGAGTAGATGTGGCTGTCTTCTGCAGCCTCTTTGGGGCCACAGGACCAGGTGCTGTTTGAGTGACATACTGTTCTGTACTCTGCCCCTCAGGGGCTCCTGTGCTGGACATGCCTGTGCCCACAGAGGGCACCCCGCCACCCCTGAATGGCACCCCGGTCCCAGTCCCAGTCTACTTCCGCCACGCAGAACCTGGCTTCTCCCTCAAGAGGCCTGGGGGGCTCAGTCGGAGCCTCCCACCCCGGCCCCCCGCCAAGGGTAGCATCCCTGTCAGCCGCCTCTTCCCTCCTCGGACTCCGGGCTGGCACCAGCCCCAGCCCCGGCGGGTGTCCTTCCGAGGGAAAACCTCCGAGCCCCTGCAGAGCCCCGTGTATGACCCGAGCCGGCCTGAGTCCTTCTTCCAGCAGAGTTTCCACAGGCTTGGCCGCCTGGGCCATGGCTCTTACGGAGAGGTCTTCAAGGTGAGTCAGGTAACAGCTCCCCACACCTGTCTGGGGGTCCCCCCTCCCCACCCCCATTTCCCTGGTCGGGATGGGCTAGTGTCTTGAGCAGCCTGTTTCCCTCCCCTCCCCTGCAAGCCCTCCTCTTGTGGTCTGACAGGCTCCCCTCAGTGCTTGATTTGGCTGCTTTCTCATACCACCCCCTCCACAGGCCCCTCTGAGGCCCCCTCAGGACACACTCTCCCTTTGTCCAGAGCCTGGCATGCCTTGTGGTTGCTCCGGGCTGCCATCTCCTCCCGCCCCGTGCCAGCCACGCTGGGGTTTTTGGCGAGCTCTGCCCGCCCCGAGCCAGCGCCCCTCCCAGTGCAGGCACATGCCCACCGCCACCGCCCCCAGCCAGCCAGCGCTCAGGCGACACCCTCCATGACACCTTTTGTTTCTTAAAATATATTTGTCAATCATGTATGTTTTCTTTAAAACGGTCATTTTCCTTACACAAGGATTCTATGAAGACAATTCTGTTGTTAAAAAGTACAGACAGGCCCCTAGATCAGCTCTCCTTCCTGGAGAAAACCATGGTGATTCTCAGGTGGCTCGTCCTTCCAGACCTTTCTCCGTACATCTCTGGAGTTGAGCATGTAGAGAAGAACCCATTTTATATGCTACTTAGCAGATCAGACGGCCTGTATTGTTCTGTAGCCAGCTTTTTACACTTAATGCATCCTAGCCACCTTCCCAAGTCAGTACTTAGAGGTTCGCCCTCTCTCAGGCTCCAGCAAACCAGCACCTGGGGTGGAGGTTTGTCCAGCTTCGCTCTTGCACTCACAGGGGTCTCTCTAGGGCAGACGCCACACTGCACCTTTCACAAATGTGAAACCTTAACAGAATCTGCCAGACTGTCCACCTAAATGGTTGTGCCCCCTCCCTTCCAGGTGCGCTCCAAGGAGGATGGCCGGCTCTATGCAGTGAAGCGTTCCATGTCACCATTCCGGGGCCACAAGGACCGGGCCCGCAAGCTGGCTGAGGTTGGCGGCCATGAGAAGGTGGGGCAGCACCCGCGCTGCGTGCGGCTGGAGCAAGCCTGGGAGGAGGGAGGCCTCCTGTACCTGCAGACGGAGCTGTGCGGGCCCAGCCTGCAGCAGCACTGTGAGGCCTGGGGGGCCGGCCTGCCTGAGGCCCAGGTCTGGGGTTACCTGCGGGACACCCTGCTCGCCCTGGCCCACCTACATGGCCAGGGCCTGGTCCACCTTGATGTCAAGCCCGCCAACATCTTCCTGGGGCCCCGGGGCCGCTGCAAGCTGGGTGACTTTGGGCTGCTGGTGGAGTTGGGTGCATCCGAAGCTAGCGAGGCCCAGGAAGGAGACCCCCGCTACATGGCCCCTGAGCTGCTTCAAGGCTCTTATGGGACAGCGGCCGACGTGTTCAGGTAAGGGTGGGGATGTGGGAGGCCTGCCCTGGTGGCTGGGGGTGTGGTCAGCAGGGTGAACACCATCCTAGCCCCAAGGCATGAAGACTTGGCCTCAGGACAGGAGACACATCCCCAAGGGGGTCAAGGTCCCGCCCCCTAGTCTAGGGGGCTCTGATGGGTTAGGCTGTCTAGGCTCTGATGGGTGAGGCTGTCTAAGCAATGAACCCTCTGGAACCAGTTTACAGGATTCACCCATGTCCTTACCACACCTCCATGGGAGGGACTATTATTACTTCATTGACAAGGAATGGGCACAGCAGATTAAGAGACTTTCCCCAAGTCCACAGCTAGCAGGTGGTGAAGCTGGGACTGGACCAGGCGCTGGGTTCCACAGTCTATGCTGGTAACCACTGCTCTGCCTCAAATATATCCAATCATGTCAACAGAATGAATGATGAGAGCATCACTGTTAACCACAGTCACCAGAGTGCCAGTCCTGTGGTGGTGGTGGTGGTGAGGGTGCTAGGAGGACTCACTACAGTGGTCCATGCTCCATGATGTGGTCCTTGTCCTTAGCCCTGAAGAGACCTTCTCAGGGCCCCCAGCCCCTGCTTCCCCACCTCACTGGCTCATGGCAGAAGACAGCAGCCCTTTCCCACTCTCTTCCTGGGGGCAGCCTAGGGCTCTGGGTTCTATGTCTCAAGGCCAACCATACCCTTCTCTGTCCCTGTGCCTTCCAGTCTGGGCCTCACCATCCTGGAAGTGGCATGCAACATGGAGCTGCCGCATGGCGGGGAGGGCTGGCAGCAGCTGCGCCAGGGCTACCTGCCCCCGGAGTTCACTGCTGGTGAGTGGGGGACACATTGTAGAGAATGGCTGGCAGTGGGGAATCATGGGGCTCGAGGGTCTGTCACTCCTAATGTGGCCCTGCTCCATGGATAGGCCTGTCTTCTGAGCTGCGTTCTGTCCTCACCATGATGCTGGAACCTGACCCCAAGCTGCGGGCCACGGCCGAGGCCCTGTTGGCCCTGCCCATGCTCAGGCAGCCGCGGCCCTGGAGCGTCCTGTGGTACATGGCTGCCGAAGCCCTCAGTCGAGGGTGGGCCCTGTGGCAGGTAGGCTGGTGAAGGGGATGGGCAGTCCTGCTCTGCTGTCTGGCCCCAGGGTCTGCCCAGCCTCCCTCAGGCCCCTGTCCCCACAGGCCCTGCTGGCCCTGCTGTGCTGGCTCTGGCATGGGCTGGCTCACCCTGCCAGCTGGCTGCAGCCCCCTGGTCCGCCGGCCACCCCGCCTGGCTCGCCACCCTGCAGCCTCCTCCTGGACAGCAGCCTCTCCAGCAACTGGGATGATGACAGCATAGGGTGGGTGAGAGCTCGGGACAGACGGCTGTGGGGGGGCTGTCAGTGGGGGCCAAACCCCATACTTGAGGCCCAGCCAGAAGCCCAGGGGTATTAGTGGTGAAGCGGGACACCTCCCACAATCCTGGCCCCCATCAAACCCCAGGAAGGGAACCAAGGCTGGGGGGGGGGTGCAGCTGTTCCTTCTCAGCTCAATGAATGGGGTGGGGGCTGTACAGAGTCCAGCGGGGCTGGCAACCTCACACTTGGGGCGCTGCCATGCTAGGGAGCCATGGTCCTGCTGGGAAAGGCAGGCAGTGCAGCCCCCGCCTCCGTAGAGGCTGCCAGTACACAAGGACAAGGCATTATCCTTCCTCTCCCAGGACAAAGCCCCCAGAGCCTGGCAAGCCCTGCGCTGGGAGGAATTCCTTAGTCCCAGGTGCCTGGTGGCCAAGCAAGAGGCTGTTATTAAGAAACTACTGCAAAGGAAAACCACACGCTAGGGGCTGACAGTTCTCAGGAGGGATTACACCATTACCTCCCAGGAGGGATTACACCATTACCTCCTTCCTTATGAAATGTTACCCCATCACCAGGGGGACACTTCAGAGCAGACTCGAAGTAGAGAAGCTTCATTTACTACAAGGTCATTTCAAAGCCAGTTCAGGCAGAGCCCATGTATTCCAAAAAGGGCCTTTGAGTGTGGTCAGGTGGACTTTAGAAGCTGTCAAAGTGCTTCTTTGAAAATACACCACATTTCCATTGTCTGAGACATGGCCTCCCACCCTGGGGACAGGGCTAGTCTTGCTGCTCCCACCCAGCTGTGGCCTCCTCTCCAGGCCTTCCCTACCCACTCCAGCCTACCCCCGACACCTTGCTGGTCTTGCCCATCCTGTGCAGGCCTGCGCTCTCTCAAGAGGCTATCCTGGCTAGGGCCTCCGGGAGCACCTCCACCCCCTGCAGTGGCTCCCCTGCCCCCCGGAGCAGGTACACGCTGAGGTGAGTGGACCCAGGGTCCTGGGGGTGGGAGGGCAGCTCTCAGATCTTGGGAGTCACTTCTCTCTTTTCTCCCTCCTGCCCCAGGGATGCTCTGGATCTAAGTGACATTGACTCAGAGCCCCCTCGGGGCACCTTCCCCTCCTTTGAGCCTCGGAACCTCCTCAGCCTGTTTGAGGATTCACTGGGCCCAGCCTGAGCCTGTGGGCTCAAGCTCGGCACTTTTAACCTTTTAGCTCCTGCCCTCCATCCTCCTGGAGGTTGGGGTCCCTCTGGAAAGTGGGTCCCTTCTGCCTGGCCATGTCTAATAAAAGGTATTTGAATCTCGGGAGCACCCCAGCTCACTTGCATGGCAACACAGCACTTCCTGCCCCTTTTATTGACATCGCCCAGGATCTGAGGCCCCCGGGATGGGTTGAGGCTGAGCTCTCCTGCAAGCCCCCCAGCCCCAGGCCCGCAGACTGGAGCTGGGAGCCCCACATGGTGTGGAGCAGAGATTTCTTGAGCAGGTATGTCCCTGGTGAGCAGGTCAAGCTGTCAAAGAAGAGGGTGGGCCCTTAGCTCAGCAGGGCCTGGGTCCAGGGCCACTCAGCTCTCTGTGTCTCTGTGCCAGTTGCCTGGAAAAAGCATCAGCAGCCGCCCTCCTGCCACTTGATCCTGAGATAAGAGGCTAGTCCTGTTGCCCAGACCCCTCACTCCACAGTCTCTGGGCAGAAGGGAGAACAGGGAGGCAAGCCTTGGGCTGCTGGGAGGGCTGGTATGCTGGGCAGAAAGACAGAGGGCATGAAGCATGGGCCAGACGCTGGGCCAGGGACCCATGAGGTACCTTATCTGAGGGTCCCAGGAGGGGCCAGGTGGGGTGATGGCTCTGGGCTGGCAGGATCCCAACTCACAGAGGGTAAACTGAGGCCCAGAGAAGGGAAGCTGGAACTCTAAGGTGTGAGGAGGAGAAGAGGCTAGTCCACAGGCAAGAATGGGTAAACAGATGAGGGATCCCTGTTGGGAAGTCCTGTTTGCTGGAAGCATCCAGGGAGCCAGGCCCTCGCAGAGCAGCACGAGGAGGGAAGCATGGTGCTCTTGGCCCTGGAAGACTGGGCCGGCCCGCACGGCAGGCGGGAGGTGGCTCAATCCGGGGGGCAGGTGTGGTGGGCGGCCCAGAGCAGGTCAGGCACGACGCCAGCGTGCAGCTGGAGGATGGAGCCCACGCTGAGCAGGTGCATGATCTGGTGTGAGTTACCCCAGTAGTCGAAGCGGCCAGGTCCCCAGCGCTCCGGCAGGCGGGCCACGTTCACCAGGCCCCCGAGTAGTGCCAGTGCATCCATGCGTAGGTAGCAGGGGAGGGAGCCTGGAGCCCCCGAGCCCAGCCCCATTCCCCGGGCCCCAAACACCAGAAGGCGGGCACCAGCCTGCCAGCCAAAGGCACGGAGCCGGGCACCAGTGGAAGGGGCGGTGAGGGCCCGCCAGCCAGTCACACCCGACAACACGGTGTAGCCTACCAGGGCAGCTGGGCGCAGCCAGGGCCTGCAGGCCAGGGTGCAGTGGATGATGGGCAGGGCCCCTGCACAGAGGAGAGAGGCAGGAGAGGGCACATCAGTCTGGGGGCCACTTGCCCCCCTTTTTTTCTTTTCAGTTTAATCGATACCTGCCCTTTATAAGGCTCATGTGAGTTTACCCGAACTCCCAGCTCCCGTCCTTTGAGCCTCCCACCCCCACCCCATCCCTTGGCTCACCGAGAGTGTTGACGAGGCAGACCCCACACATATCCAGAGCAAGGAGCCGGGTGTACACAGGGCTGCCCCCTTTGTGGCACATGAAGAGGTGATAGAGCACAGAGCCAGCAGGGGGTGCCAGGCAGGCCACACAGTGTGTGCCCCCCAGCCAGCCATCCTTGCCCAGCTGACCCCAGGGCATGGTCATGGGCAGCAGCACCAGGAAGCCCAGCAGGGCCAGCCCTGGGGGAGGGAGACAGTTTTCCATCAGAGAGCTTCAGCATTGAGGACAAGTCATGTCCTCAATGAGTCCACAGTCTAGAGATAACATGAGAGGAATGAAAGCAAGACAGGTCCTGGCAAGGCTGTTGGTTGGCAGGCCCTGGGCTTTCAGTAACTTTATTTAGCAGAGCTCACAATAGTTCTGGGAAGTAGAGACCATTTTATCACCACTTTACAGGTGAGGAAATGCCCCCAGGTGACCCCAGCAAGTAAGCAATGGAAGCAGGACACAGCCCGGGCAGCCTGACTCCCACGCTGCTCTCACCCTCCCAGCCATGCCACCTCCCCAGAAAGCAGGGTGCTCCAACCCCCCAACCTGGCCTCCATGTATCCGCAGGAGCCAGGAGGCAAGACTTCAAGCTGAGTTCAGAACAAGACATGTGGGCGATGATACCAGAACCCAGGACCACTTAGCTTGCTCCTCCCAACCCATATGTCCTCTCCTCCCCTTAAGTGACCAGACAAATGGAGGCTGTGGGCCTTTTGGTGCTCCAGAGAGGAGTGAGGCCAGGCAGGGGAGGAGGCTAAAGGGACCTTGTTTGTCTCTTCCCCAGGCACCTTTTCCCAGAGCTCCGTTTCTCCCAACCCAGGCCTCCAGGGCCATTTGTACCCCTTCCTGCTGGCACTCTGGCATTGCCCTCACAGGGGTCAAAGGCTAACAGCAGGCTGAGGCTGTGGGCTGCCCACACCTGGCATGTCCCCAAGGAGGCAGGCACCAATTCTGGGCCCAGCGCACCCAGGACCCCTTTATCACTACGGGACACGCCAAGGACGGGCAGGGCTGTGTCACCACACTCCGCAAGGCGTGGAGGAGGGGCCCGGCTCCTGCTAGGGCAGGAAGAAGTTGCCACCAGGCGGAGCCCCGTGCCTGGCCTGCTTCAGGCAGGGGCGGCAGGACAGCCTGGGCCTGGCTTCTCCTGGGCCCCATCTTGCCAAAGTCAACACCCAT